TGCTCTTGAACCCCTCTAAGATTACTGATAAGACTTAGTCAGAATCGAAACAAATAATGAAATACAATGGTTTTATAAGGCCTAATCGCATTATTGCAGAGGTGTATATCTGTAATTCCTTAAGCACCCTAGGCTGAATGAGTGCTTATTAAATTGCTATGGTTGTATTAGCGCTCTGCCAGCCGCCAGCGACACCAAACCGTGCCTTTTGTGTTCTTAAAGGATGCCCTCTTTATTATGCCGTAACTCGGACGTTATCATTCATTCGGAAGTGATATTTTTACGCTCAGATAGCCTGTGTGTCTCCACATATCTCCATCATATAGACGCTACCGCACGAATACAAAAGCATATAGCAACCCGATTTGAAAAGTGGGTCTGAAATTTCCAGAAAACATTGCACTACATAGATTTTATTTTCTCCTTATATATAGTCCTGATATTCCACTCCCATAATAATCACCTATCTTTTTCGAAAGCTAGTACGGCGGTAATATAAGGACCCTAGTAATGGTCCAGCTGCCTATCTTACCCATAATAGATGTTACTCTCCATCCTGTAAGCTAGTATCTTAAGGCGATTTTCAATGAGTTAGTAATCATTCTCAACTAAAATCTCCCTAAATATCCTCAGTTTCTGCTCTCGGTTGTTAACATCTGCAAGACACAGGCACCTTAGTAACATTGATCCTATTACTTCTACTTTAACCAAATAAGTATGCTTTGGAAAGATGTCTAAAATAAACATCGCATTGTTAGGTTTCCTATACACATTCCTACATTCGTCTATATTTACATAAGTCTTTAAGGCACATACACTTCACTCATCTTCACAAGTTTGTGTGGGACTCCTTCCTTATGTAAATTACTCAGATCATATGCATTCTGGGTCTGGAACTACGTTTATTAAATGTTTACATTTTCAATTTATCTAATTTCCCGTTTGTTACTGAATGATGCAGGCAACACCTGAGTTCGGATTTCAGGCTTTCTGTAGAATCATTATTGATAACCTTATACTTTAATCTATCCTATAGTTCCTGCATTATTTTTTATAATTAAAAAATCTTGGTCATAGCCCCTACTCCTGCTTATTTTATGCCCTTAACACTATTTAATTCCTACTTCTTAGATATTAAATGATGTTGTTTACCATATTATACCTTGGCGATATCCCTACTTGACAATCAGTTAGAAGATCTAATCTCAAAAATCAATACTCAGGGCTCCAAAGACCATCCCTCTACACCTTATGGTAAGGTCAAGTTATCAATCTTTTTTGCTTGCCTTTTCAATCTAAGTGAAAGCTACTACATAATCACATTTTTGCTTACTCGGCATCTCTCAACAAATACACTAAAACGAATTCATCCCTAGGTTGAAATTTCGTCTTGTGCTTGAGAAAAAAGCATTACTTGTTTTTAATTTGTTTAAGGGGGCCTAATTCATTCACAATTGTAAGAAATAAACAACGTACATTCGGTCATTCAATAACATAGGGAATTCTTAAATATGGTATGGCACATCCTTTAAATAATTTAAAATTGTTTAAAATATTTTAATCAATGCTAATTCTTTCGGACATTTTTATTAGCAACAGTAAATTTTTATCTAATTCCCCATGGTCTTTTATTTTCTTTGCTCATTGCCGCCAAATTCTCCCGCCTCACTCTTATCTAACCTGAATTTTCCCTCCCAAAGACTCAAAATGAATAAACTATTAACAATCACTGAGCCAGATAATATTAAGAAGCTTCCAAGCGTTTATTTTCCATCAGATAAAGCCAGTAGAACTGCACACATAGGCTCTATGAAGCAATATGACGAGCTATATCGCGAATCACTGCTGGAACCCGAAACTTTTTGGCTTAAATATGCGCTTAAATATTATTGGGCCACTCCGCCTCCAAAAAACTCTATTCTCAGATACAACTTTGATATTCGTAAGGGTAAAATATCGGTTGAGTGGTTTGCTGGCGGAAAAACGAATATGTGTTTTAATGCCCTTGATCGTCACATGCAGAATAATAGTCAAAAAATTGCTTTTTATTGGGAAGGAAATTACCCTGGTGACAGAAAGTCGATAACATATGAAAGTTTACTTCATAAGGTATGGTTTATTAATTCTGCCCAATATCTCACTTCTTTATTTTCGCCTGTAAAAATCTCTGATTTACGTGCCGTATTTTAACTCATAATTATATGTTTAAGACGATATAATGTATTTAACGCTTGAAGATTTACTTTTTATTTGTCATTCGAATATTCATGTCTTAGCTGACTTGCCTCGAGACCTCTATACTATTCCTTATTTACATTATTTTAGGTCTGCCATTTTGGCCAGTCCTTGCGGTATTTAGGCATTTCCAAAGGTGATCGGGTCGCGATTTACATGCCTATGGTGCTAGAGGCTATCATAGCAATGCTTGCTTGTGCTCGGATTGGTGCTGTTCATTCAGTTATATTTGGAGGATATTCTGCCGACTCTTTAGCCCAGCGTATTATTGATGCTGAGTAAGTCAATATAAAAATCTCACTTCAGATGCTAATAACTGAACAGTTATTCTCTATCGTCGCCATTTAAATAGATAAATAAATATATACATACACACATATGTATATGTCTACTTGTAGGAACCGTAAGATCTAGCCTTGCAACTAAAATTCGTTCTGTAATAATTTTTACTATCTTTCCAAGTGCTCTAGGAACCTTTCATTATATTGACACGTATAAAATATTTTAGTTACCTTACTTTATTACTTCGTAGAAATGAAGATTAACAGTGTGGCCTTCTGTTTGTTCGCACTATCCTTTGACTTTATAGTGTTGGTTCGACCCTTTTTTTCTCCAATTCGGAACGTCAATGAAACCTTGTGTAACGTATCTAGTTACGTGTTCTCTGCCATAATATTCGACTAAGGTGCCGGCCAAAGTTTTTTGAGTGCACCAAGTCAATAGTCCAGTGCTGGAAATCACTAATACCATGGCAGTGGATACTGGACTATGTTCAATACACAAGGTCTCCCTGACGCTCCGACCAATTTTTGAAAGCAAGTTCGGACCAACACTTAATTTATCTGGTCTGTTTTTCGCTTTCATATAGCCATTTATCGGATGAAATGCTTTTTTCATCTTACTATTACTCTAATTTCCTCTTTTAGAGACCATAGCTAGGATTGTAAGTAGTTAATATTTAAAAGCCTTTCTCGAGAACTCTGACCTATTTTGGAGAGAAGTCTAGATTCTACTTCAAAATACTGTTTAGGCAGTCGTTTTTATTTTGGAGAACTATATTCCCCATTCTCTTAAGAAATTTGATATTTAAATGCCTTAGAGATCTTATAGCGCTACCGAAACTGGGCGTATGACATTTTAGCCTCAGATCCATCAGTCCGATGATTTCTATATTTCTGTCTCTATGTGTAGCATTAGTGTAGATAGTTCAATTGATTTATGGAATTGTGGTAAGAATTTAGCAACATATTTATCACAATTTTTGATATGCGGCCGTTGACTTGATACTTTCCCAGAAATTTTTTTAAATTGATAGAATTGCTTAAGACATCTACAAAAATATGATAATGCTTTATTAGTTTGTTACTTTTTAGGTGTAATATTAGGGGCTAAATTCACAGCTCATTAACTCGGCCAAACGAATATCTTGCTACATAATTTTTACGATTCCTTCCCTTTAGTCAAGAGGCCTTTATTTATTTTGTTTGGGCGTAAATAACAACTGATGGATTCGTTTCCACTTGCACATACATATCGATACATGCCTCTCAAGTTGCATTGAAGCTTCTACCTTTTGTATAGTATGATAATCTATTTCCTTACCGTAAATTAGCTTTAACTTCAAGTTTTTATGAAATTAATTTCGGCTCTGATAATTTTTCGGGTGCTAAGCAAGATTTAAGTCTATTTTATCCCATTCAAGAAAGTTTGCCTATAGAACTATGAGCACAAACTTCCCAGTATTCTGAGGTAGGTGTGAGACACTTACTTGGTAAACACTTAAAAGAAACCATACAACCAGTCTTCTCTTTGTTTAAAACACAATCTGTACAAACTTATCTAAAATAACATTAAGAAACTAATTTCCTGCGTTTTGGCAAAGACCGACCCAAGATAGACTTTCTCCTATTATGCCGTCTTTTTAAAGATATTCAGCTTCTGTCGAAATCAGGTTGATACTAAGTTTTCTGCTAATATGTTAGCGTTTATGCTTAATAAGCCTCCCGACCCATAGTTAAGAGGCTGTCTTGACTAAAAGCCACCTGCAAAGGAGTATAGATACAAAATGGGGTTGAACATATGGCTAATATAGGACGTCTCATGATGGTGTAAAACTGAAAGTTTTGTTGAGCATTAAGAGTTCAAAGCCAAGAGCAAGATGATCAAAAGGCATTTACGAAACTATCAACACTGAGAATAGGTTCGAATGTGAAAAGTTAAGTGGGTACTACATCTGGATATATCGTATTGGGAGTTGGACAAGCTGTCGAGTAGTATTTTATCATCTCACTAGTTTTATTAGCATTGCAACATGCACCACCATCCAGCACAATATCCGTTAACCTTTCATGATCAAAATAAATGTGATGGTGATAAAATTGCTGTTCCACCATATGCACATCCACTTCACTCAAGTATGTAATGAGAAGCAGGAAATAATCAAATCTTGAACTGTCTCATTAAGATGAAAAAGTCAGTCTATAAGAGGCAGGTAGGATTACAGCCAGTCAGTATTTTTGACTTAATCGAGGTTGTATACAGTGATTCGAGGACTCCTTTGCTCGGCTCACCGTCCTACGACTACGATGACTCTGTGTTGAGCTTTCGTCCGTCATGTGACAGACATCGTCAAAGCCAAAAACCATTATTCACAAAAAGTCACCAAAAAGCTATAAACCAAGAAAGGTTACCAGCTTCCTATACCTCTGAGATCTTAATGAGGCATTCTATGATTTGGCGGACTTTTCTATGTTTGTCCTATATGCCTGTAAATGAGTCAACGTGGTGCAGGAATAAGCGTGGGTATGATCACAACTCTTGCATATGTAAATAAACTAACGTATGATCCTGTATTCCTGGAGTTGTTATAGATTCATGGGTGAGAGTGTGGGTATGCAACACTCACGAGATGATTGGCAATTTAATGTCCAAAACTAGGCTCCACCTTAGTCAAGCCTTCTCTTACTCAGTGGCTCTTACTGTTCCCTTTACTTCTCTCTCCCTAATTCTATTCAGCAGCCAGAGTTAGCTCTTTGCTTCCTACATTCGTTCCTCATATTCAGGATGTTTTGTTAATTTCAATCGACTCCCCGATCTTCAGCTTATCTATGAAGTCTCCATATCCGGCAAAACGTTCAGGCTTAGACCACCATAGCTGGTGTCCTGTAGCGACCACATTTTCAGCTACTTCCAATTTCTGAATCCGTAAACTTTGCAGGAGGTTCTGTGTTCTGATAGCCTCTTATGTATGGGTCGTCAAGTCTCCCCCACATAAACACTGTCATATTAGCACAAAATTTATAACAACCTGATCAGCAGAGGGCGTCGAAAGATTCTCTAAAAGAAGGCATGATCGAGGAAAGCGTTGTTGTTTCTTTATACATTGTCTTGACACTCCATTTCCTCAATAATTCGCCTATCTTTCTTGAAAGCTTGTAGAATGTTAGCATTAGGAACCTGGACAAAGAATTGTCCAATTACTTGTTTTGGTCAAAATAATAGTTTTCTTTCACCCTATTTCAATATTTTAAAATTGCTAACACTTAATCCTACATTATAATTGTTCTCAACTAAGCTTGTTCTTAGCTTTTCTAGCTCCTGTTCCAGATGATTTACGTCCGGTAGACGTAAACTCCTTATTATTATTGATTTAATTACTCCTACTTTAACACCACAAGTTTGATTCGAGAAGAAATTAATTAGGAAACCCTCATTTATGGGTCTACTATATACATCTCTGCTTTGTTTGTTTCCTTTTTTAATGACTAGGACATCTAAAAAGGGTAACTTACTGTCCTTTTCTAACTATAGTGTATTTATTCTAATCTATTCATTAACCCAAGGAAGTCTTCCAAACACTCATTGCCACACAGCCAGATAGCAAAGTAATCATCCATATATCTGATCAGCAGTTTAGGAACTAGGAGTAACTCCTGAAATAGACGAATTTTCTGATCTCATCTGAGTTTTCCTAAAGTCTACACAAAGTTTTTTTTGCTAATTCTGCTTTTTCCTAATATTTCATTCATTAGATATCCTTCAATCAGTATATTTACGGCTTACTGGATCTTACATATCCTTGTATATTTTCCACATACATCTAGTCCCTCTGTTGCCCTCAAGTCCATTTCGTATCCCAGCAATGAAACTTGTTCTACTAAAAATGGCACACTTCTGTAGCATGTGTCAATAAGCAAGTAAGTAGTGATAGCAACAGGTGCGGTGCGAAGATATCGGATAGGTGAATGTACCAGGACAGTAAAGATACCAGAAGAAAGTTTACTAAGGGATGGATTTTACCTCTCTTCTTAGCGTGTTGTAATTTTGTGTTAGGACTGACAAGGCTCACTGCCGGCAAAAGGTTTGGGAAAGTACTAAGTATGAAGCTTGAAATTATCATGACTACTATGGCAGAGAACTCCGGGAAAGGTGTTTTCGCCTATGTCGTCCTGACAACACAACCATGTTGCGATAACGAGGTCAAGCCACTACTGGGCTTGGATTCGTCGAAACCCTATTGCTTTTTCTTTATCCACGTTTTATTAGTTTCCTTATATTCATAGACCTTCTTTAGTGTAAGAATAACGGAATTTGATAACTTGCTTGGTAATGCTCTTTGCCATATGTTAGATAAATTTTCGGGTTTGCAATTGCTCAGCTGTATGGAGTATAGATTGAAGTTATGTGGTCGCCTTGGATAATAATTTTAGAAAATGGATTTTTTTTCCCGAATTTATCCATGGACATTTTGTTCGTCCCAAAAAGAGGCCGGATTTGGGAGAACTATTTATCAATAGGGAAATCCAGTGATATCTTTAGGAAGCTTTATCTGTCTTTTCACCCTACCCTGCATCGCTTATTTCAAGAACGCATGAGTTGTAATAATATAATTATCTATAAGAATAATCAGTAAGTTTATAATAGGAACCCGGTGTTGCAGTTTGATTTTTATGACACGGTTATTGATTTAGGTTTTCATGCTTGGCTTCGTCTTTTACTTTCTAGTTTATCCCATTAGTTTCTTGCTATTCTTTTTCTATAATTGAATGGAATGATTGGCTGGCGAGTGATCCTGAAATAATTATACTGCCAAATACTGAATTAATGTTTATCACTATACTAATCAATTACTTATTCTTTTTAATAGAGCTCAGCTCGACCATTTCGGGTCTGTCTATTCCTCTATTTTACCGATTTTTATCAGTATTCATTTGAGTTATTTAGCTTGAAAATTGTATGGTTCTCGGTTTCCGTAATTTTATAGTTACATTAAACTTTATTTTGTTAAAGAAACTCCAATTGCATATTCTTAAGAGGCTTATCTCCGTACTAACTAACATTAACGAAGCAGTACTGGAATTTGCATTTTTTCTTGCTTATATCTAATTTAGCTGTGATTTGGTGCATAAACACCAATTGCTTTATCAATAAAGATGAGGTCTTTTGTTTTATTGTTATTTCTTGTGCTGTAGGTGATGTGGACCTTTTTCAACGAATAGAAACAATGTCCTCCTATATTCAGACATGTATTTGCCATCCTTCCTCGCCTCTTAACTGCGCTTTTTCTGATCCTCCCAGTTTAATCTTATCACTAAGCTATTCATGTCTGTTTTAGTCTCCATTTATCACTGTATTAAGCGTTCATTTGCGTCTTAGGCCCTACGTTAGCTAATTATTTTAGAATTAATTATCCTTATTGTTTCTGAGATTTTCCCCTTATAGTTTTCTCCATTTTTCCATATCACCATCCTCGATTTATAGTTGACCCTCATTAAGCCTCCCGCCCACAGGTGAATCATCCTTATAATCTGCTATCTGGTGGTTGTGTTCTAATGGGAGTCTAAATTGCACGCGTAATCTATTGAACATGCACACTTTTACCTACTGCTGAAGCTTCTCTTGTGGCTCCTTGATATAATTCAATGAGTTTGCCATTCAACTATTGCATCATGAGTTCGAACTAGAGGTTATTGGACATTTGCATTCTATTATAGATCAAAGTTTACTTATGGAACGCGAGATATGGTAGCATCTAATAAAATCAAATCTTTTCGTTTATTCATCATCATGATTCTTGTTCTTATTCAAAAGCTTTGATATCTTCAATAGCTACTCACTCTGTATAGTATTTGGATAATTGTTTGCATTCTCGAATCCTTTCAAAACCAGGATATCGTTAGATTTTCTCTGATTCCATCTTCGTTACGTTCATCTCACTAAACTTTCCTAATACGTATAATAAACATTATCTCTTTCTGAATGCTTTATAAGCCACATGATGATCTTCATAACAGCATTGCTATGCATTCCAAACACTGGCCTTTACTTCTCAGTGATCACTCCCTGTTAATAAATGTGCTAAGGCCATTGATAAATTGATTAGCTTTGCTCATTCTGTCTTATGCTTCCAATTTAACAAAAAGCACACCTACTTACAATTCATCCATGCCTTCTGCTTTCAATTACATGGATTTGACTTCTTTGATTAGATCCCCCAACAGAGTATATTAACAAAAACTTTGCCGAAATTACTGAATATATCTACAATCCATAAATTCTTTTATCAATATGGAAGTATTTACTGTCATCTGCTTTTGCCTATTTCAGTACATTATTTTAGAGGCATACTCTGTTCCTTTTTCTCTACTTATTATCTGATTGGTCTATCCTATTTAATGGGAATGGGAAAAAAGTTTATCAGCAGTATCTCAACTTGTGATAACAAGTGGGATGATACGCTGACACCGACTACTTATGGCTTCTTTTTTCTGATATATAGCCTAAACGATGATAAAGATCTTTTTCAGATATATTAAAAAACAACTAGATGCTAATTTAGCTTTTCGGAAAATTCACACGACGCTACTTCTCAGGCAGTAGCTTTGACGCAGAGTAGTGAAGCTTTTTTGATAGCTTGCTGGTCTACGTAAGCGAAATTTTTAGATCGAATATCCAGTCAGATTTCACATAACCATCCAGGCTGATCTGCAATCCTGGACACAACCTTTTAAGGTTTATCTGGTTTTGTATTTGTAATTAGTAAGTTTTTGATATTATCAGTGTATCTTGAGTAAGAATTGTAGTCACCCCAGGTCGCTCTGTCGAACTCTATTAGAATTTTAATAGAATTATGTCCAAATCTGGACATGTCTGTCTTATGGTGCCCGAAGGACTAGTGTGATCTAGCACTACCATTGTTTTCAACGAATTTTTTCAGCCCACTTTAAACAAAATAAAAGTAATCTCAATGATGACCTACCAGGATATTTGTTGAAACTTCGTTTCTCCCTTTATTTTAAAGAAGTTTTATTTTCTAGTAAGATCAACCCTTTCATTCAATACGCGATATGTGAGTCTGTCGAAGGTTGATACAGCTTAACGGCTATGAAGGGCAGATGCCTTTTTATTGATTGGTTTTAGCCGATTGGATGAGGATAATTCCACTTTAATAGGCTTGCCTCCCCGAGTCTCCCCAATCTCGAATTATCCTATCCTATCGTTCCATAGAAGCTATTTATAGTTTCTCTGTCTTTCTTGTTTCCACCCCTCTCCTTGTCTGTCTCTCCCTTATTAGGTGTATTCATCCTGCTCCAACCCCATTGATTACCTACTTATTTTGCTCAGGCTCCGATTCGTCTCTTGCATTATTCTTGCGGTTACAACTATTATTTCATCGGATAGACGGATATGGTATCTTATTATTATTATTAGTCATTACTTCGAAAATCGAAGGGTAACTAAGGCCGAATTTAGTGAGCTCTTGTGGCTTGGTTCCAATTTTTCCTCTTTATTATTAACTAGTTCTAATCCTATAATTAGTCTGATATGCCCTCATTATATGGAGTCTTGTTCCTCCAACTTTGCATAATTGGAATTATCATTTCGAAGGAAAAGTTGGTTGGAAGGATGCCGTGACTTAGTTTCATCGGAAATCGAAGGAGGATTACTGCAGAGTGAAGGCTCTTGAATTATGAGTAGATGTCCTGTACTTACCATCACGATTCATCCATCCTCAGAGCAAGAATCCATACTTTACGAAATAGCTCACCAGTATACTAAACCAAGATAAAAGCTGACCGTCTGTACGCCTAATCACTTCTTATAACTAGTGTTTTAATCTTGATTAGGCTTTCCATGATTTGGCTGGCTACTTCAAACTTATTTTTCGTTCATGAACAGATTTTAGAGTCCACTCGATTTCAATAGCAAATACAACCTTGCTTCATCGGCAATCCCACCAACGAATGCGAAAGGAGAAAATACCTGACTCTTTCATTGAAATCCATATCTGCCATGTGATCCAAGGTCACTCGTGGCAATGTGATAATAGTGTTGAGATTATACACTGTACTATCATGGTTTAGTCCCACTGGGGGTACTGATGATACCTAGACGAGATCGAAACTACAGCCCATCCTCGATAAGAATACCTTTTGGAAAGCAAGGCTATGTTAAATTCAATGACAATGTAAGGTCTTCACTCAGGCCTCGGTTTCCGATGAGGCAAATTCACGAGTTTCTTCCAACTCATTTTTGTTTCGAAAAGGAAAGTCGATTTGCACTACCTGTACAATGTCCTCGATAAGCCTGATATCAACATTATATCAACCTGTGTCACCCTTATTCACTTATTCAATTCTTTCTCACTACCTTCGTTAGAATCTACGTTATAATTTTCTCCTCGGGTTAGCCGTTCCGCGTTACTTTTTTACGGCTACGCTTTTGAGATTGACTCTTATTGTTTGACTTAATATTATAATTAGGCTAAAACTAGAAAGACCAGTAATGGACAATATAATTTATTTATCTTATTTTGGGTTTCAAGGGTGTAAATTTAAGGCTAAACTAAGTTAAAACGTTGAATTTCCTTCATATCGTTGCGGAATATACAGACGATCTTTGAACAGGGAGATATGAATTCTGGTTCCTCCTATTGCCTATTCATGTGTGTATTTTAGCGAATTTATATATATAGGCCTAATAAAGCAAAGGTTTTAAATAGGTTTATTGACAAATACTCATATCTAACGGTTTTCTCTAAAATATTCATGTGGTTTACTTTGCTCTAAATGCCCATTCTTCCTTTACGTTTACTATTACATAAATCCTATTTTATTTAATAGTTCCCGCATCCTCATAACCTGTGATGGCGCCTGGCGTGGAGTGAAGCTTATTCGGCTCAAGGAACTGGCTAACGAAGCAATGGACATTCTAAGTAAGAGAGGCAAGCCGCTAAATCATTGTGTCGTACTGCAACACATAACTCGATCTCCGTCCGACCCGGACCAGATTGTCTCCGGTGACGAACGGCCTGGGAAACGACCTTGTCTGAGGTAGGCTGACTGGTTGGAACGAATTTGCATTACAATTGACTTCGTCTTTATTTATGCGGTTTTAATCACTTATCTTTTAGACAAATTCATGAAGCATGGATCAAAGGGCTATTTTTTCTTTATTATCCTTTGTTTCCCTCAGTCACTCAGCCTAAACCTTACTTTTACTCAAAGGTATAAAACAAGATGGTGTGGCCTTTTGTGTGGTCGCAGTCTCCTTTCGTTGTATAGAAGTTGTTTGACCTTGCTTTCACAACAGTGTGGCCTTTTGTGTGGTCGCAGTCTCCTTTCGTTGTATAGAAGTTGTTTGACCTTGTTTTCGCAACTCCATTCCCATGGGAATGAACCACGTCCACGGTCCAACTTTGTAAATAATCATGCATACAATGGACTCCGGACACTAGGTGCGTTACTTTAAGTCTTCCTACCAATATGACCGAGTTGCGAAAACAAGGTCAAACAACTTCTTATTTTTACTCTTTTAGATTGCCATACAATGAATCTAAGTTGCATTATTAAAGTTATCACATTCGCGACTTATCACAGAGCATACAACAACCGATACCTATTCGAGGGCATTTCTAAGCTAAAATGTTCTTTCTGTACTTCCATTGTCCAGTCGTGTTTTATACTCACAGGAACGCCGGCATATCCGGATTTTTAACCCGAACATTTTCATGACCTATTTACTGGTATCTGTATCTACGTCACAGGAACAATTATTATTTACATCAGTCGAAGTTCCGCAGCGACCTTTCTAACATGGTTATAATGGCGGCATCTGAATTAAAATTAAACTGCGGCTGACTCTGGAAAAGATAGCAGCTATATAGTCATTATCTACTCGGCCATACAAAGTATTTTATGAGATGTATTTACCATTTTTATTTTAAGGTACTAAAGGATTGTTAGTTGCATTGGAAAACATCAGCTCTACTCATATCATTGTGGGAAAAATCAACTACCTGTCTTTCATTACCTTAAACGAAATAGGGTAAACACAATTGATGGAGAAGATTAACCAATAAGGGAAGGCCTGACTAATTTGGAGTCTGATTAAAGCTTTAATGTCTCCATTGATTCATGAGCGTTTCAGCATTGCAGAATCAAAGTCTTTATTGTTTATATAAGAAAGCAAAATTGGGCCACAACCACTTCTCACATTAGTCTCACTCAACTTAAAGAATCTATAGTTTGAAGTAGCCCACCAAATAGTGGTATGCCTCTTTAATATCATAATTAGTTTATGAGTAGAAAGTATTGCATTTTGCTATAATTATTCGTTTTGAATCAGATAAATTATAATTTTTAAATGGTTTTATGCCAGGACAATGTCTGTCACATGCCAGATGAAAGCTTACCACAGGTTCGCAAAGGTCATGGGACGGTGCGCCAAGGACCTTGCAAAAGCAACATTCAGTTGCATGACAATCCTCTTTCGGTTTCAACTGAGGGCCAGTCCATTAATCCTTTGCGTCCAACTTTTCGGACGAATTTAAAGGTTATATGGCAAAACAGTATTCTTGATTTTCAATGTCGATTACAGCCTAATTTCATTTTGATGTTAGAGTTAAGGAATTACTAAGTTGGTTTCGGCGTAAGTCGAAAAGAGATTACCTTAGAGCTATGACTAGATTTGTGCGAATAAGTCCTCGGCTCGTCGTCCAGTGACCCTGATGAATCCTTTTGTCCGTCATATAATGT